AATTGTATTAGACAAGTGAGTCAAGGCTAATGAGGTGCAGACAGAAGAGTAGAGATGAGACCGCAATCAGGTCAACCGTGATCTTATTGAATGCTGGAGTAGGTTGGAAGAGCTAAATGCCCATTTCTACTCCTCATTCCTATGTTTCTGAGTCTCTATGTAGTCAGGCTAAAGAGAAATGGTATAATGAGAAGTGTAATGAAGTATTGGAGCTGGAAAGAGATCAGATAATGAGAATTGTGGACCAGAAGGTGAAATCTTTGACAGATCGAAAGATAGGGACAACATAAACTAATGGGTGCATAAAAGACAAAGACAGTGACACAAAGCAAAATGATGGATACAATATATATTCAAGATATGGAGATAAATGAAAGACCAACCATATTAATATCAGAGGCAGGGAATGATTTGAAATTGATGACGACAGGAAAAGTTCCAGACATAGATGAATAACAAAAGAATGATGAAAATCCTTTGAGAGACAGATTAGAAGTGATAAAGAAATTTGTGACCAAATATATACCAAGTGATTTAAGATATTCATTGTTTAAGTTAACTAAGGATCCTAATGCAATAAAGTATAATAATTTTTGAACAATAAGCTTAAATCTTGACAATCATATTAGAAAGAAATAATAAGCTATCTGAAGTAGAAATTGGTGAAAAGCAGTCTGGATGTAAACTTGAAGTAGGAACAAGAGGGAGTATTTAAATGAAGAAAAATCTTCAATGAAAATCTACAAGAAAAGAACATCTACATGTGCTTCATGAACTAAGAAAAATTTTGATTGCGTTTATCAACAAAAATTACTGAGTGACATTGACAGTAAAGATGTGAGATTTAGCCATCATATATATTGAAACAAAACGCAAGCATCAAACTAGAAAAGAGACAATCATTTATGTTTTTACTAAAGGGAAGACTGCAGTAGGAATGTGTACTATCAATAAAATTATTCAATCCACGCACAGAACAAATATTTGGAGGAATAGATGTATTTTGAGGTAAAAATTTGCAACAAAAACAAAAACTGGCATGCTGGTAATGCAACATGATGTATAAAGTCAGAAGATGGTCTACGTGACATTGTAGAGTAAGTAAAATCTAGGTGTGTAGCTCAAAGCAATACATTAGAAGAAACTAGATTTAAGACTGAAGTGGATGGTTTCACAATGGAACATGTTGGTATCTTGGACACATGATAACAGAAGATGAAAAATGTGATGCAGAAGTTAAAAGGAGCTTAGAAACAGCCAGAAGTCATTTTGTAAAGATGAATGTTGTGTTAACAACAGGAAAACTCAAGATTGTAACATGGGAAAATTCACAAGAATGTGACATTCTTTCCACTATCCTGTATGTCTTAGTAACCTAGACAATAAGTAAAGATCTGTGGAAGAAAACAGAAATCTTTGAAACGTGGGTGCTAAAATGTATATTAAAAATTCTACATACAAACCATAAGACAATTGAAGGGGTGTGTCAAATAGCAAGGGCAAAACAAACTCTAAAAATTGACATTCAGAAAAGAAAATATCAGTATTTTGGCCATTTGATCAGAATTGAAAAATAACAAAGATCTCTCCTAGCAGGCAAAATGGAGGAGGCAGCAGAAGGCACAGTTGGATGACAGACATTGTACGATGGCTGCAGAGGAGCTAGCATCAGTATGTGAGAATGTGAGTATGATATATCACAAAAGCACATCTCCTGGCAGGAGTAACTACCTACTGGCAACAACAGTGGACAGTGTCTTAGTTGAGCTGTTTCATAAGTAAAACAAACTTCTGATGTTTTTACAGCTGTTTACTTACTGTACATCACATTCTTCACTCATAAGGTATCTCACAGTTTGCTTTTGTCCACCTAATAGTTGTTGGGATTGTCATGGTTTCAATGCTTATTTGGAGTAGAAGCAGGGCAATCCTGTAAGTGATGATTTTAGCTATACGCTGTGTGGGCTTAGTGTTGGACTTAATGGGTTGAGGATCTCAACTCAGGAGAATTAAAGAACAGGACAGGATCACACCTCCTGGCAAAGTTATGTTAGCGATAATCTGACAGAAATTTGGGCAAGTTTTGGCAAAGACCTGTAGCTCGGGTTGTGGATGAGGTTGTTGACTTGCTCGCCGAGCTGGCTTGTTCTTGTTCAGAAGTTAGGTGATGTCAACAGTGGATCCTCCAATGAAGCGATGTTGTTCTAGTCCGCTTGGAATTTATACTGTCCAGTCAACAGTACACCAATGGGGTCACCCATCTCAGGACTCATTGCAGAAGCAGTGAAGCAAAGACTGGAACACACCACCCTCCCCCACATTCAACCTAAACTATGGATCCAGTACATAGACGACACATTTGTCATTATTAAACACAACAAATTAGAAGAGACCCACCACCTCATCAACAGCAAATTCACGGGTAGAAGAAAACAACAATCAACTCCCATTTCTGGATGTTAAAGTTGAGCGTATGACCAACGGAGAGTTCCAAACCTCAGTATACAGAAAAGCAACCCATACTGATCAAATCCTCAACTTCCACAGCAACCATCCCAATGCCCACAAACAAAGCTGCATTAGGACACTATTTAAACAGGCCAGGACACACTGCAAAACTCCAGAACTACGCAGGAAAGAGGAAGAACACCTATATAAGATCCTCGCCATAAACGGATATCCCTGCAACTTCATCCACAGATGCCTACTAAACGGACAACAACAGGAGGACACAGTACGCCCTAACACACTGGCCACACTGTCCTACATCAAGAACATATTGAAACTGACAACAAGACTCCTAAGACCACTAGGAATCATGGTGGCCCACAAGCCCATAGCCACTCTATGACAAACACTCACAAGGATTAAAGACCCCATTCCCACAACATGCAGAACCAACGTGATTTACAAAATACCACGCAATAACTGCCACAAACATTATATTGGGCAGACAGGAAAGAACCTAACCATCAGAATACATGAACATCAACTAGCAGCAAAACAGCACGGCGAACTCTCCTTAATATCAGTACACTCAGACAATGAAGGTCATCAATTTAACTGGGACAAGGTAACCATAGCAGCCCAAGTCAAACATAGACACACACGGGAATTCCTAGAGGCATGGTTCTCCACCCATACTTCAATCAACAAACATATAGAATTGGACCCCATATACAAACCCATACAGATCAAAACCAGAAATGACACTACTCACCATAACGGACTGGACAGTATAAATTCCAAGTGGAGTAGAATAACATCGCTTCATCGGAGGTTCCACTGATGATGTCACCTACCAATGTGACAAAATGTCTGAACAAAAACAAGTCAGCTTGGCGAGCAAGTTAACAATCTCAGAAATTTGGGCAGTTAATAGATTTTCAATGGATGGGTTTAGTGTGATCAAGAAACTTAAGTTGATTGTCCCTCAGAATGATTAAAAAATAGGAACTAGAATAGACAGATTTAACTCCTAGGAGATCTTATAATAGCCGATATTAGATTGTGGCTAACCTCAAACTCTCTTTACCCACTTTGATCCATATTCATTGATATAATTTCCTAATAAAAATCTGCCAATCATAGTCTTCAAAATAGAATATAGAATATAGAACATAGAACATTACAGCGCAGTACAGGCCCTTCGGCCCTCGATGTTGCGCCGACCTGTGAAACCAATCTGAAGCCCATCTAACCTAAACTAATGTCAATGGATCTCCAATATCCTCAGCACTTTGGTGAGAAATTTAATTTTTTAGTACCAAGTTCAAACAAAATTCTTGTCTCTGCTGCTCAGATCATTCTCAGGATTTGCTTAGACTTTTGGTGCCAATTATTGGGAAGAAGGACAATATTGAATAGTTTTAAGAAATGCATTGAAGAAGGATACTTCTAATTTTAAGTGATACTCCATTTCAGACAACACCCCAACAATGCAGGAACCCTTAAATGCATCTTTATTAATCACCTCAATCGCTTCCAAATCTCCATTTCCAAAATCACACCATTTTCTGAGTATACAGCATGATAGTAAATGGTTCAAGACTCTAAAAAACAAGATCTAGTATAATGCTGAAGTGAGGGTGAGCTACATTGTGTCATCTTTGAGTTGAGACTCAAAATAAAGTCACCATTTTCATATTCAGGTGAATATTAAAACTTCCAAGATATTATTAGAAGAGGAGCAAAACATTTTCTTGTAATGCTAATCAGTCTCCTGGATCAACAAGTTTATTTAGTGAATAAATGACCACATGTATTGGAAAAATCAGTCACTGTAACTTTCACCAGAAGAGAAAAGATATCCTTTAAACAGATTGGTCAAAATGTTATATTCTCAATCATGAGTCACTGTAGGCAATCATTTACAAAGGAACTAAATGACCACAATAGATTGGAATACTAAAGAAATGGAAAGTGGTTTGCAGCAACATGCTGACATGGACTTGATGGACTGTTTCTATGCTTTAACATGCCATGATTCTCAGAGGCTTGGAAATGGCTTGAGTTTTTCTTGTCTTTTTGAAACACTCAATTTTATGACAAGGCAGATATATAGTCCAACCTCTGGCCTGTTTCTCCATAAGCAAATACAATCACTGTGTAATTAAAACTGGGAATGGGCAAACTGTTGCTTAGTCTTATGATTTTACTAAAAACTTTTCCAAGTTCTTTATAGTCTTCATAGTTCTGGGTAGTATCACTTCTCAACAGGCTGAGTTGAGACCATGTTCAAATTCTTACCACTCGCATATGGACTCTCATAAAACAACACTCTCAAGAAACATAATTCCTGATGCGCACAAAGGAAATTGTGTGAAAATGCACCACTTAATTGACAATGCCAGCACAGCGTTTTAGTAGAGAAAATACTAATAATTGCAAATGCGCAATAAACAGTTGTGTAATAATACTACTAAGAAAACCGGAATTCAAGGAATGACACATTTTTAAAAGTAATAATAATCAATTGTTAGCATGGGTGACAGACCTACCTCCAATAGCGTATACTGTAGTAAGAAAGAGTAACCCAATCACAGAAAAGTACAGATCCCATTGCAAAGCAATTTGAATAATGATGGCTCCAGCATAGATATCAACCTGGACAAAATACATCATAAAATATGCTACTCAGTAACATTAACCACACTGAACTATATTTCACTAACTGCATTGTTGACTTCTATTGTGGGACAGTTTAATGTATGGTTTGTCTACAGTGTGGCATGTAACTATAGTAAGAATGGGGAGCTCTCAGGTATCTATGAAATCAATGGGAATTGTGAGCTATGTAAAATGGGCTGCTAACTCACTACCACCCAGTTTACACAATCAAAGTCAAGATCTACCTAATAGTTTCTTATGAGAATTTTAAAAATTAAGTACACAGGGAGCAAACTCAAACTCAGCTGCATCCATTTTCTGGTGCTATGAGGGCCCTCGAAGTCCCAAATTGGTGTTTGGGAATGGTGAACACATATGTTTGTGTTGGATGCCTTATTGGCAAAGGGGTTAACATTCATGCAGCTAATGTCCACAGGCAGCTAAGGAGCAGTCAGAACATGGCATCCACGGAAGTTCAGTATTGAATAGCCAGTGCTAGTATTGGTGACTTCCGTATTCTGCTTATACACTCTCATAATCTCTCACATTGAAATGTGTTTAACAGGATGCTAAATCAACTTTACTAAAGGAATTATCAACAAAGTGGGTATCATCACAATTTATTCAGATTGTATTCTAACTGCCATGTTTTTGTACGCTCATGTTGACTGTCTAAGTCCCCCTGAAGCCTCTTTGTAGCCTCCTTAAACTTACATCTCAACCTAGTTCTGTGTTTTCATAAAATTTGGGAAAACTACATTTGGTACCCACATCCAAATCATTTATATTGATATGAGCATCTGTGACCCCAGCACTAATCATTGTGTATTTCACTCGTAACAGCCTTCCATCCTGAGAATGATCCATTTCTCTCAGTTTATTTTCTGACTGCTAATTCTCAATCCATACTAGTATATTACTCCCAATTCCATGTGATATAATTTAGTTGTTTAGTAGTAAAAACTTAAACATTGCTTAAAGGAGAAAAGTAGTTGAAGCTTTCTGTCTTGCAGTGATCAGGTCTGGGGTGCAAGAAACAGACAAGTAATGGAACACCAATTTAGACAGCATAAGAAAAGGGTTCTGATTGGTTGGGCCATCACTGAAATAGAGATACAGCAAGAACAGGTAACTGTCAGAAATAGTAGGAACTGCAGATGCTGGAGAATCTGAGATAACAAGTTGTAGAGCTGGATGAACACAACAGGCCAAGCAGCATCAGAGGGGCAGGAAAGCTGATGTTTCGGGCCTAGACCCTTCTTCAGAAGTGGGGGAGGGGAAGGGGATTCTGAAATAAATAGGGAGAGAGGGGGAGGCGGATAGAAGATGGATAGAGGAGAAGATAGCATTTCAATGGTAGAGTCACTTGTTTGTTGTCAATTTAAGCAGGATAGGCCCCAGTGTCTGCCACTGTTGTTCACTGTGTCATGTTAATGATGATGGCCAAATAATCAGTGGCTCATCAGGAACTGATTAATTCCATGAGTTTGCAAAACACACTATAAGTTATGAAGCAGACATTACAACAACAAACTCATTTCAGTGTGTGCAACTTGCAAACCATTGGCTATCCAACTGGCAGGCAGAGTTACAGTGCAGTATATATACAACGCATGGAGTTCTTCAGATAAACTCTCTTAAAGGAAAAACACAAAAATAACATGGGACACTTATCCATAGTATTCCACAGGGCTCTGTCCTAAGTCCTCTTCTGTTGGCAATATTTGTGAAAGGAAGCGTGCTAGTAACAATTCCAAAATCACAAAACCATGCAAAGGGTAATGAGCAAAAAGGAATTGCTAAAATTCAGAGGGATACAGAAAAAATAAGCAGATGGCTGAATTGAGAGAAACAGGTGATTATGGACTACTATAAAGGTAGATTAACATAATTCATATTTTTATGCAGAGCCAGGCTCAAAGGGTATGAAGTCAGGAATCAGTTTTGTGAAGTGTGCTGCTTATTCTTCATAAACAGACCATATGCAAGAACTTTCTGAGTGGGATGTGTACCCATGGTAACAGAAAGCTATTGGGTTTTGTGGCCTTTGATTTTCAGCTGCAGGATTATGAAGCATCTCAAAACATCTGCAACCATCTTCGACAATGCCTGTCTGGTCTCACTTCTCTGAGGGATTAGAGTGGTAGGAAGTGTTTCCAAAAATGCTGGTATGTTAATTGGACCCCCTCCTTTGATACCAATCCAGCAAGATGACCATTGTCTGCCTGAGATTAATTCTAACTGGAAACATATTACATTGAAACACTGAATGTAGGAGAGGTGTGGGCCCTTTGGTCTCCCTATTACCCGTTGTAGGCTGATGATAATAAATTTCATCAGCTGTTGCAGGTTATCCTGACTAACTGCTGCCTTAAGGTAGGCCAAGCAGAATGCTAATGTCCATATATCAGTTAAGTACAAGACAAGTCACTTTGATCATTACTTCCCCTCAATTCCCTTTAAACTCCTATCTAACTTTCTGAACATCACTGCTTATATTTTTGAGGATCTGTGTATTTATGTTTGTATTTGAGCTTACACTAGTTGGAGTACTTCACACAGCTTGTTGTGAAGTGTCAACCTCTGTGTCTCACTGCATTTGTCCCCTTCAGCTTGAGAAGAAATCTAATAGTTCGAGGATAGTTGCTGGAGAGCAGCATTATATCTCAAAGTTCACCACCACCTTCCTTGATGGATTTCTGACCAAAAAGGATTAGAAACATCTGCCATCTCTCCATTATTTCATTATTAGTGATTCGCTGTTTTGTCTAATTCCCCTCTATAAATTGTGAGGCATTTTGCATGGAAACAGAGACCGGCAAGAGGTTGAGAAACACTACCACAGATTACATCCCATCCTGTGCAAGTGCTTTCAAATGAACTTTTATGTTTTGTTTGCTGGATAGTCTTTTGAAGATGAAATTTAGGATGTTATATGCATAATATTATTATATTTCATTGTAATTGCTCCATACCATTTGCCCTTAGTGATAGAATATTGTAAAATGGGAAAAGAGTTCCATGCATGCTTTGCAGGTTGTGCTACTAAGGGAGCAGCAGGTGAACATTTACATTGGATCCATGTCTCTAATAAAGGAATAATACACCATGCCCTGAAACTCAATGGTGGATGTTCTACCATATGCTGTAATTCCTGCAGAGTTACTAGAATTCAATAGAAAACAGCAAGAATCTGATTCTATGTCTACATCCACCTAACATATATCACCAATGGTTTGGTTTTTTTGAGACGGATATCTTAAAAGTTGCTTACAATATTAACGGTTTATGAAGCAAGAATATCACAGTCTTGGTCTGGGTTCTGCACTTACTGATGTTAGTGTATATTACAAACTCACAGTTTACAAACTACATTGACTCCATTACACAGAGAGAGAGATTGAAAGTGAAGAAGATATCTTTACATCGAAATGTCACATGCTCTGAGGTCATGTAAGTGTCGTGTAAGCTACAGGCCTGTGCACTCTGAAATCTAGGCCATATTGCAGCAGACAGAATCCTTGCCTTGTACTGGATTTTGAAGTCAGCTTTCTAAGGGTTTCTACCTGCCTCATACAAGGCCAATTATGTCAGATAGCAGCTCCACTGGCACAGTCAGTGGCATACTCTTCACATTGTTCACACTTCCCTGGCTTCATTGGGATCTGTTATTGGATTGAAGGTGGTATGTGGAGAAAGGTCAGAAGGGCTCAAGATGGACAGTAAGGGGTTGATGATGAGGGCACTGAAAGGCTGCTTTGGGAAATTTCTCTGATGGGTGTGCATTGTATTACTTAACCACATGGGAGAAACAAGCACCTGTCAAGCTCTATGCAAGAAAAGTGATCCCCTAGTCAGACACTCTGAGCATCAACCCTTCCCAATACCAGGTCCAATATCAAGCATTGAGATCCTTTGAATGAGAAACTCAGCCCCCAACCCCTGCCACCTCCATAACAACCACCATCACCACTATCATCACCCACCACCACCACCACCACGACCAATACTAGCCACCATTCTCCACACTGCCTGCCACTAGCATCACCACCATCAACACCAAGAAGATCAACACCAACACCAGTCACCATTCCCAACACCATCATCACCACCACCCATCACCACAGGGCCACAAGTAATCTCAATGGAATATGTTTTTCAGTGCCTCTGCATGGTGAAACACCTGCCCACTGGCAGCTGGAGCAGGATTGTGGGCATTAATAATGACTTGATGGTGTCAATTAGTAGCTGGGCAGTAAAGCCATGTTGAAACCGTCCTGTCACAGACTTAATCAGGGCAGGGGTGGTAGGGTCCCCACTTGTCACACTCCCATACAATTAAATATCCCCATCACCAAATTTGCTACTGGGTTGGGCATTAAGTTCCATCCAGTGTTGTTGGGAGTATGGTGTGGAGAACTACAATGGTTGAAAGTATTATTCATGGAGTTGGACAGAAGGGCAGTATGGTGGCTCAGTGGTTAGCACTGCTGCCTCACAACGCCAGGGACCTACATTTGATTCCAGCCTCGGGCAACGATCTGTGTGGAGTTTGCACATTCTCCACGTGTCTGTCTGGGGTTCCTCCAGGTACTCCAGTTTCCTCCCCCAGTCCAAAGATCTGCTGGCTAGGTGGATTGGCCATAGAAAATGCAGGGTTACAGGGATAGGCCGGATCTCGGTGGGATGCTCTTTGGAGGGTCAGTGTGACTCAATAGGCCAAATGGCCTGCTGCCACACTGTAGGGATTCTATGATCCGATGAAGGAGAAAACACGTGTTTCTGCAGGAAGCCTTCAAATGAAAAGAAGTAGCAAGAGAGGCTGAGGTTCAGATTCTGGGAGCAGCTCTTTGGAACGTTTAATGACCCAAACCAGATGATGAAGATCAGTGGCTGCATCTTCTCATGATATTTCATAACTTCTAGTACCTCACAATGATCAATACATTACCCCACCCCACCCCCCCATAACTCACTCAGTATTGATTCTTAACATTAAGGATTCATACCAAGCATTTACATACTCCAACTCACCCTCACACTCTTTTCTATGATGTCATTCTCAAAACCAACTCTTGCAGCCTCCACATATCTCCAGCTATAGAAAACACATCAGCTGAAGGCACCACAACATTTTGAGTGAGATGTCCATCTCTTTTGAGGGACCAGCTGGCCCAACCCTCCATAGCAGGCTTACACTCCCCGATAGCAACTGAGGACATGTTGATTTACATCATATGGCCACCTGTGACAGAGTCCATAGCATCTGATATTGCTGAGACTATCAAGGATGTTACATTCCTGCCTTAAGTCATCCTGCTAACTGGCATGGTATGCAAGGTGCAGATACTGTGACCATGGATTTTCCATCCATCCTGCAACTTTTCCCTTCTGAATTAATGCTTCCTTATAGCCAACCTCAGCACACCCGGGAATACAGGAGAAAGCAAGCCCACACGAGTGATAAGCAATGTTTTGTCTAAGCTGTAAAAGAGCATGGTGCACACCATTCTGGAACTTCTTATGCAGGAAAACAACAGGCTGCACACAAACAATGTTCCCCTTAAGATGTACACAAGCATGTTCTGTGCAACAAATTTAAGGGCCATGCATTCGACGACAAAGGTGCACAAAGTGTTCAGAAGGAACATTGGTGACAACGAAGAACTGAAACCAGACCTGACAGTTTGCAGGTACCAGCTGTGATGCTAGCATTGAACTAACTTTCAAATTGATATCTGCACAAGGTTAGTCATGTTAGGTTTCAGTCAGGGTGGGGGCGATAGGACAGTTCCTGTGTCAGCTCCCCAGTGGGCAAGGTCACAGCTGGCACATGCCTAGGGGACTCAGATGAGGAATGAGAAGAGGTACCATGTGGGAGAGTGCTGGTGATGCACATTCACATACTAGGATACATTGGCAGGCTGACCAGAAAGTTTCTTATCACTCTCAAAGATCATGGTGGAACCATCCCCATTAATGGTGGATGGCATCACATAGAATCTTTTCTCTGTGCCTATGGTGGCTGGTTACAATGGTTGTCAGCAGAACTTTATTGAAATTGGGGTCTGTGCTAGAGTCTCTAGCAATTAAAGTTGAGTGGAATGGTCCCGGGTTTCTACTCCCTGACCTTTCCTCCTCTTCCAAAGTGTATTCCAAATTTTGAAAGATGGTAACATTATGAAGGACGCATCTGACCACCTTACACTTTGTAACCTGCTCCTGCCCCCACCACACAGTCAAGGAAGTGGAACTGTTGCCTTTGTAGGCTGATTGCCAGATCCATGAGATCTCTGTGGTTCTCATTATGTGCCTGCTTCCTTCATCTGGTTGGACGGCAAAAAAGACGCACACTAGTCATTTATTTTTGCCCTTTGACCTCAAGCAGCCATGCTCTTGTTCTCCGAGTAGCGCTGAGACCAGTGAGAATGGCTGACTGTGCTCCATGAATACATAGTGGTTGCTGGTACGATAATGGGCATTCACTGATATGATGTATTAGCATGCTCGCATACCAACAGCACATTTATCAAATGGCAGCCCTTGTGGTAACTGTTCCTATCTCCATTGTCATAGGAGTCAGCAGAGTCAACTACATGCAGTTGATGCATGCTGCCCCAACAGGAATTGAACTATCCAAGCAAAGCATCATGCCCTATCACCATGCTTGTCACTGCTGAAGGAGGAGAAAAGGTACTCTCCTCGGGAGCCACGGTGGACGTGAAAGCCACTGGCAAGACTGTCTAAGGGCTCCAGGTCAGCTTATAGGAGTGGCCCAGTTCAGCAACTACTGCCTTGTTGAACATAAGTCCCCACCAGAAATGGTCCTGAGTCAAATGGAGGTGGGAGAAGTGCTTCTGAAAAATCACATATATAAACTGAGTTTCTGAATCCAACACAAAAGCATTCGGAATGATCAGTCAACATCTTGATGGTAACGCTCCTTCGCTTCCAGTGTATGCACAACACACTCATACGCACCGGGCACCCTGCGGCCTACACCAGAATTGGCTGAGAGTGCAGCCAGTGCCATTATCCTGCTTAGGGCCTACTGTAATACGACGCATTTTATACCACAACTTTGTATCATGAATGATTTTCTGTTCCTTTGGAGTCAATAGAAAATGAATTAGAGTACGTATAAAATGAGCTACTGGTTCGTTATTACAATTTTTGTGATACGATCAAAAGATAGTTGGATCATCCATGTTGGTAGTATGAAATGGTCAAGGACACAGGATTTTACGTATGAAAAACAAAAAACTTTTGAACTAGGAGCAGGAGTAGGCAATGCAGCCCTTGGAGCCTGCTGTGCCATTTAATATGATCGTGGCTGATCTCATCTCAGCCTCGATTCCACTTTCCTGTCCGCTCTCCATAACCCTTCAAACCATTACCTATTAAAACTCCATCTGTCTCCTCCTTAAAGTTATTCAGAGCAATACAACATATGGAGAGTATAGCACTGAGGTATATTGTATTTTAGGGGTCGGGGATGGTGAGAGATAGTGTGCTGGACCTACAGTGAATGTCAAGTAGTCACAATGTGTGGCATGCAGCAGAAATGCAGTTTTCCCAATTGTTCACTTCATATTCAAATCGAGTATTCTCAAAAATACTTGCAAAATTTGCAATATATGTGGAATCATAAAAAAGAATCAGACTTACTGCTATCTTCGTGAATATATAGATAATCAAAGAAAGTAAAGCTATTAAAAAATGAATTCTTTGGCCTCCAAATCGTTTCAGTAGATATTCAGGCATGGTGGTGACCTGCAAAGAGATAATATGCTCATTTTAGGGCAAATGTGGAAATTGGGAATTAACCATTAATCGTAAATCCAGAGGCCGAATAGAAGAAATACATCTGAATTTCACTGCTCTCACATAAGATCCCTATTCAGATTACATCCACCTTGATTAGGCAGAAATCTTTCTACTTCTCCCACAGTCACCATTGGAAACAATGATCTCCCACCATAGATTTTTTTTTTCATTAACTGGATGCAAACAAGCTAACCAGGCCAGCATTTATTGCCCATCCCTAATTGCCTTTGAGATGACGGTAGTGAGTTCTTCTTCAACTTATACAGTTCACGAGAGTAGGTACACCCATAATGTTATTGGGAAGGAAGTCACCGGACTTTTACCTGGAAACAGTGATATAGTTAAGTTAGAATGGTGTGTGGCTGGCGAGGAATGTTCAGTTGGTGGTGTTCCCATGCAGCTGTTGCACTTGTCTTCCTGGGTGGTAGGAGTTGCATGTTTGGATGAAATCAAAGGAGCCTTGGTGAGTTGCTGGAGTGCATCTTGCAGATGGTTCACACTGTTGCTACTGTCTGTATCATGACTGCTGCATATGGATATGAGGCAGGTGACTTGCTGTTTCCATCAGTTTGAAAAAAACCATATAAAGAGTGGCTGATTCATAAAACATAACCAGATTCACTGATTTATGATAACTAGTAAATCAAACTCCATTTTTATTATTTTGAACTGCATTACTGTCTTTAAGGACACAATTTGTTGGAGTGAAGTTGGTCTTTTTTGCAAAATTGATGATTACCCCAAGCTGCTGATTTGTTCTCACTTGTTCTGTATTTTTGCTAAAAATCAATTACCTTTCCATTCCAAAACTCTCCATGAAGTAGTCTGTTCTGATATTTTGCAGAATCCTGCTCTGATTTTCCCTCCCTGGGGTTATGCAAGGTGTTGAATAAAGGATAAAATTTAAAGTTGAAACAGGACATTTTCAAGTTTGTGAAAATGAGTGTTTTGCATTAAAAGTAGTTAAAATGTAATCTTACCCCTGCTGCAATGTATATGGGTAGAAACAGCCACCCTAGTAACATCAAAGCATACATTCCCTACAGAAGAAAAAGCAAAGAAAATTATAACAGTATGATCTTGTATTACTTGGCATTACAGCATTATCCTTTCACACAAAGGGACTTCCCTTCACCACCAGAAACAAATGTCCTCCCCTCCCACCAGACACAGCTATTCTCTCCCATTAGATGCAGCAATCATTCCCACACTGGACACAGCTATCCTATAGCCAGCAGGCACAGCTATCCCCTTTTGCTGTCCCTACCAGATGTAGAATTCCTAGTCTCTAACTTGCTCTAATAGTCACAGCTGTTATGAGGCTGGTTCAATTCAGTTTCTGCTCAATGGTAACCCTCAGGATGGTGATACTGTGGGTATTAACGATGGCAATACCATTGAATGTCAACTGGATTCATCCTGTTTTTTGTAGGCAGGTCAGACTTGGACAATTCTTCACATTGCTAAATTGATGTCAGTGATGTCGCAGTAATGGAACTGGAATAGGAAAAATTTGTCTCAGAGTGTGGCTAGTTCAAGAGCACAAGCCATCAGTACTTCTGTTGGAATGTTGACAGTGTCTATAGCCTTAACAGTATCCTGTGTCTTCATTTATTATCACGAGGAGTGAATCAAATGGCTGAGGACTGGCATCTGTGCTGCTGGGGAGGCTAAGGAGGCTAAGCTGGATTATCTACTCAATATGTCAGGCTGAAAATGGTTACAAATTCCTCAGCCAAGCTTTGCAGCTCTGGGCCTCAGGGTGCTCCTGGGGGTCTGCTCTGGGCATCAGGATACTTCTGGCTCCACTGCAGACCTCAGGGTACTCCTGGCTCTGCTCTGAGCCTCGGCCTGCTCCTGGCTTCAGGCTCCAGTCTACAGGGTCCAAGCTTTGGGCTGCTTGTGGCTCCTCCAATCACACACAGTTCTCTCCCATATTTGCTGCAGATAGGCTCACCATCAACCTACTGCAGTACACATGGAGAGAAAAGATTCTAATTGGAGGAGCAGTTCCTTTTAAGATCTTCCACTTATACTTACCTATATTTGAAACTCTGGGCTCAAATAAAACAAAAGGAAAACAAAATAAATTAAAAACAATAAACTTTCACTTTATATCATCCTGGTCTATGATCATTCTTGTGTAAGATTATGTAATTATTAATGATGGGACTCTATGAATGACCTGTAGATTTGTTTACCAGTAAAACATACGTCAGTCTGTATGGAACACTCCAGCAGGCTGTTTATGGCCCACAGGCCACAGGTTGAGCTCCAATATCTATTCAGTCCTGTCCCCTTGCTTTATGTCTGTAACAATTGGTTTATTTCCCTGAGGAGCCCATACAAATTACTTTTGATATCACTTGTTATCATCAACTCCATCACTCTCACAGGCAATTATTTCCAGTTTGTAACCACTTGGTGTTGTTTAATGTGTTTCTTCACCTTCTCTCTGCATCTGTTGTCTAAACCTTAATTCTCTGCCATACAGCATCAAGCCAGGTACATAAAGGGAATTACAATTTGACCACAATTTCATTGAATAGCAGAGCAGACTCAAGAAATTGATTGGCTAAATCTTGTTTCTATAACTGAATGCTTTGATTTAGTCGGAAGCTTTTTTACAAGTAAACATTTCAACATGTGAAATAACTTACACTCCACTCGAACACACTAACAGCAATTCCAGAGGCTGCTCCAGTTCCAGCCAACCCAATGAAATGGCCACTTCCCACATTGTTGGCAAATAGTGATGCTCCAACCTGTATAAAAGAAATTGAAGTCTCAGACCAGGCAATGTCAAATGCTGGCTGTCCAATGTTAGCTGTGAATCAAAATACTTACTGGCCACCAACTCATGTTCCTTCCCGCCAAAAAATAGCCTCGAATAGTGTTCTTCTTTGACTTATACATGGACTGTTTGAGAAAATCAGAAACAATATATCATTCTTAATCTAATACAATGCTGCTAGTCTGAAGAATTAGACCCCAAACCCTGGAAAACTAGCTGTGCATCTCTCTGCCTCCTCATCGCAGCCCATCAAGTCTACACTGACCCTCTGAAGAGCATCATTGACTTAATTGACTTGTACCAATGAACGCATCCCATTTCTCCAAGAAAACTCCCTCTTTTACAGATCATCACAATATCCCCTTGCCCTCAACACCAGAATAAAAATTACCACCAAAAACAAACCAGTGCAGAAATAACCATGTTTTTCATATAGTCCCTGACTGCCTGCCTTTTGCCTGGCCTAGTACTAGCCCAGTAGCTGCAGCATGATTTGTGAGAAGCTGCTGACTATCTGTGGGAGAGACTACAAATGGCCTGGCAGGATGACCTCATGAGGCTTTGAAAAAGAAGGCTGGACAGTACCAACTCAGCTTGATAGCCAGCAGTCAGGCATTGGCAGAGGAAGAAAAGTAGTCACCCTGAGAGCAATTCTGTGCTGCACAGAGCCACTGCCACTCACCCCAGGTCAGCACTTCAGCAATGTCACAGATCAGCTAGAGAACATAATGCAGACTGCTCTAAGTGCCTGCAAGCCTCTTTGAACAGTGGTATCTATAACCAGGACGGCAGCAGTCTGAGCCTGCAGAGCAGCAAGCTGTGCTTATTTAACTTCAGTCTGAGCTTCCAGTGCAGCATCCAGATATTGCATGGCATCTGCTAGTACTGGAAGCTGAGATATTGGCCATCAGTTCCTGTATCATGGTTGGGTCTGCAAGAGTTCTCCCGAAGTTGACCAGTATGCCCATGGAGGGGTTAGTCTTAAGGTCTGCACAAAGCCCTGTGCATCATTGCATGTCGGACTTCTCCATCCACCTTGACAATGTCCATAGGCTGTCAGGCAGCCTTGCCAAATGTTGTTGTGTGCGTATTCATCGGCCTTCTGCATATGCCTCTCCATCGACGTCTTCATCTACAGCAGAACTTCTAGTCCGACAAACTGGCATCTGCACAACCCCATTGTCCAGCTGCAGCCTGGTGGCTCAGCGAAAGCAGGTCTCATCTTGAAAGTACCTTCTAAAGTGCACACAGCCTCAGCATCCAAGCTGATGGCTGCAAGTGTGAAAGTGGGTCATAGTATTTCTTCAGTATCGGTCGTTTCTTCCCCAGTACCTCTTAAACTTGCACCACTTCTTGATCAGGTTGTGATTCTTGGCTATTTGAAAGAAATGAGGCACAAGGGTAAGCTCCAGGTGAGGGGTAGTCATGGACCACTGACCCATCTGCAACTCCTAAATCAGAGGAGATTGTGAAATGATGGGAAAACAAGGAGCAGGATTGGGTTTTAAAATATCACAATGTTCAACAGTTTCAGCCCCATTGCTGGTCATGACCTCAGTATTTTATATTCACTTGTAGGATGTGAGCATTGTCAGCTTGGCTGACATTTATTGCCCATCCCCAGGTGCCCTTGAAAAGGAGATGGCAAGTGGCCTTCATGAACCACTGCATCCATGTGGCCATTTCAATGTTGGCAAGTTCTTGCTCCTCCACAGAATGCACCATCCCTTTAGGGGTGAAGCTGCCTCTAAAATAGGGTTAGACTTGCATGAACTTGAGCATGTTGCAGAATGCAGATATTCATCAGTATATTTAATACATCTACCTGTCAAGTAAATGATGATGTCACATGAAACATCTACCCACATGTATCAAGAGTAACTGGTGCAGGTTAATTGCAAATTACAACCCCAGCACCTGTTTTTGGGCACTGTCCAATTTTATCTGTTTCATCTCTTCACATTTTCTTTTCAATATTGGACTTTCCAGTGGCTCAGGGGATAAAGTAAGTAGATGTCCATTGCAACACTGAGCCATGGGAAAGGGCAATGGATCACAAGGGACTGAAGGGATCAAGAGAATGGATCACAATTGAGAAGGGTGAGATGAAAACTTGGTCATTGTTAGGAGGGGGCAAGGCCATTGGGACCCTGAGCAGGATGATGAAGGGGATTACAGCGTCATCATCATGGTCAATGCATGGCACATGGGGAGAGGACAATGGATCATGCTCAGGAGATGACAGAGGACTATGGAGTTATGATCAGGAGGAAGGAGAGATCAACATGATCACTATTTATTTAATGGGGATCTTGACAGAGTTGTCATCAGAGGAATAGAAAGTGATACTGTGTTATTGTTACACTTTCATAAGATGTGGGCATTACCGGCAAGGGCAGCATTTTTTGCCCATCCCTAATTTTTCCTCAAAGTGAATGGCTAGCTAAGCCATTTATGGACTATTAAGAATCTACAACGTTGCTGTGGTCTGGAGTCGGGTATAGGCCAGAAAAGGATGGTAACTTTCTTCCCCTAAAGGGCAATAGTAAATGAGATTCTTTTTCATGGCAGTTACCATTGCTGGAACTAATTTTAGATTCCAGATTTATTCATTAGAAATTACAATGTTACCAGCTGCTGTGGTGAGATTTGAGCCCAAGTGCCCAGGATTACCAGTCTATTAACATTACCACCCTGCAACCGTCTCACCTGCCTCTGAATAGTTGCCAGGGATTGTGTAGTTTAGACTCCCCCCTCAACTCCATCCCACAACACCCCCTCCAACCCCGTCCACTCACTTAATTCAACGTCAATGATGTCATGATGCCTTTGGTCCAGACCTTTGCAATATTAGTTTCATCCCCATGTGTTATGTGGGAGCCTTGTTGATGGTCTGACTTGTCTTTGTCAAATTTTAAACAGATGGGAACGAGATCAGATTGATCAATTCTGGTACATTAAGCTCTCCTCTACCCGAATAATATTAAAGATTAAGGTTAACAAGTTGGGCAATCAGGTAGCCGCAGTACTGAATAAAAACAGAAAGAACTGCAGATGCTGTAAATCAGGAACAAAATCAGAAATTGCTGAAAAAGCTCAGCAGGTCTGGCAGCATCTGTGAAGAAAAAAAATCAGAGTTAATGTTTCAGGTCCAGTGACCCTTCCTCAGATCTGAGCTTTTCCAGCAACTTCTGTTTTTGTAGCTGCGGTATTGAATTCAGTTATTGTGCACACTTGCTTGAAGTCAACACTGCTTGATTAGCATCACATCTTGCTATTCACTCTGAAACTGGACCTTTGCAGCTGGGTTTTTACACATACTTCACTCCCTCACCACACTCCATCCACATTAGTCCTGTTTCAGTGAGAGATGGAGTAGTCTGCTTTGACTCCTATTTGCAAACCTACTTGCTTGTAATAGTGAGCTGAATTAGCATCTTGTTTAAAGATTATGAGGATAGACATTAATTTTGGAGAATAGCATCAAGTGAATGCACTGAAAGGAACTGAGTACACCCATTTCATTGGAACAAGGAATTTTATCATGAATATTGGGGTAACCTTTCACTAAGGTTTAATAGTAAGAATATTGTTGGAGTAAAAGTGTTGAATCTTGATTTCCTGGTTGTTTTTTTTGTTGTAAGTGTATTGGCAGCTCTCGTGAATGTGTTCAGTTTCTGACCTCCACATTAAATAAAAGGGCAAAAGCAAAACTATGGTCTATCAAGCCTTGCCTCACTCTGGGATCAGACTTGTCCAATATTACAGTCAGCTGGGATTATAAGACTACCCAAATGCACCACATCACCTCCCCAGACCAATCACATTTCCCAAATAAATGTTTAGAACTGGCCTTTTACTGGTTTCAGCAAAAATCCATGCTTGGTGGTTCAATGGTGGTTTAAAGAAAAGATCAAGTGTGGCTACAAGCAGGCCTCAGATGTATCCTTTTGATTTAGAAGATGTAGGCAGAAAATTCAACAATGGCATCTACCTCACCAAAAAAAAAAATGGCTGGAAACATAAATAAAATGAACTCCTTGAGATAGTATGTTCCATCCCTAAATTACAGCTGCAGTTATGGATATTTGCCTGATCCATCTGCACTACATCTGAAATTTTGGGGTTCACATTTAACCTTTGTAAATGGTGATTTTTCAAAATAACTCATGATATTGAGTCTAATTCTTTAAAGGACATAGAAGAAGACATTTTAACCAAGAGTGTGTTTGTAGCCAGCAGTTTAGTAAGTAGATAAAGATCTTACCCAGACTCCTACAAATAAAATAAGTAAAATGTAGACACCCAGGACAATAGCGTCGATCCCATTCAGTTTCTGATGCATGATGACACATTCAAGGGGTTCCAATGTGCTGGCAGGAGTTTTGTCTGCCCTGAAGTAAGGGTTCTCTGTAATTGTCTTCATACTTGAACATAAAATAGAAGAATAAAATAAGGCTTATGTAAATAGAGTATATATTATATCTGAATATACTCTGATCAAGCTGCTTGAGAACTAATTAATTATAAATCAACAGGATAATCAAGAAGTTAATTAAGGGAGGGGAGTAGTGGGAATAGATTTCCATGCGTGATTCCTGAGCAGATTAGATTAGAACAAGCAGTTTAAGTAAGAACAAGAGATGCAGGGAATATCTGTCTTGAACAGAATTCAGTTGAAATTCTATGTACTGGTTAAAAGGAATTAAAACCTTTGATAACTGAAGGACTGTACTAACAGTTAGATTTCTGGAATAGCTGAGTCGAGAAGAGAGGGTCAAATTTCCTAGCTGCAAGATGCCAGACCGTAAAAACAATAGCATGAAGACCATTCTGAATCTCGATGGCCACACTTAAAATACTAAAGATACCTATGTTGAAATGGGCAGTGAGACAGTTGGAGGAGATTTAAAGGAATGATTTTTCCAAAGCAAATGGAAATCTCAAGAAATCTCAAACTTTATGCAAACATTTGAAATACAATGTGGAGCAAGTGTTAATCCTCCTAATTCTGTGAAATACCTGACTTCAATTTTTTTGTGGGTGTATTTCAAATGGGCGTGGAAGGCAATTTGAGCTGAGAAGTTTGTTTTGAGTATAAGTAACTATAATCATTGTACTTATAATAACATTAATGTAACAGACTACTAAAATATAGTTATCAGCTTCAATGTTATTAGATTTTTGCGCAGTTTTCTTTTACAACCTTATGGCTTGATCCTTTTAGCAAATATCTGGGTTTTCAGATTTGCATAATAAATGATAGAAATGTTATTACTCTTGACCGAGATTATTGTAATCATAGCAATAGCAACCAAAAGAGGGAGAAAAATTATATTACCTCACATTCCCCAATGTGCGGCACTACCACCATGCTAAATAAGACTAATGTTTAATAGGTCTAGCAACTCAAAACTGGGCAACCACTAGACTCTGAAGGCCATCGGCAGCAGCAGAATTGTATTGATCCAAACACAAACAAACAAGCTTAACTCCGAAGGTGAAGTGATATTAAGGCAGCATTTGATCATGTGTGGCATCAAGGAACTCTAGCAAAACTGGAGTCAATGGGAAACAAGAGAAAATCTCTCTGTCAAAGTTGTACCTAACACAAAGGAAGATAGTTGTGCGTTTCAGAGGTCAATAATTTCAGACCAAGGACATCACTACAGGATTTCCTCAGGCTTCAACCTTCAGCTGCTTTATCTATGGCCTTCCCTCTATCATGAGGTCCAATGAGAATATTTGTTCATGTTCATAAAATGTTCAGAATTACATTTTTCAAGCACCTGTTTAAATCATTTCATGGCTTTTTATTTCTAACACTTTCAACCTTACAACACTCCAAGCACTGGACTAGGAACCCAGAGGCTCAACATGGTTGAAGATCTGCAGCAGATCTCAAAATCTTGACTGCTTTCTGAATAGGCCTAGCAAACCATTGAGTTCAATGACAAGTAAGATGGGCAACAAATACTGGCCAGGCCGTTGATGACCACATTAACGGGAAGAATATACTTTAAAAATCTGCACCTTCTGCCAGGCATTGTTGGCTGTGTATTTAACATTATTGGCCAAGAAATGCCCCTATTAATATCTCTGTGTTACTCTCCCCTCACTAGGGTCCTCTTTAAATCCACCTCTTTGACCAAGCTTTTAGGCACTCAACCAATTATATCAATGTCAGGTCTGAATCAATTTTTATACTTCTCTGAAGCGCCTTTAGAATGTTTTTCAACATTTAAAGTGGCTAGATATAAAACAAAACAGCTACAATGCTTTTCATGCTTTGAGGCAGAATATTGTTACCTTATAGAGCCGTTGGATGAATGATTAAACAACTTTGTATGCTTTTTCCTTCCAGTTTGGAAATATTCTGCTGCTTCAGTTTATTAACAAATGATATCGATGCTATTCTTAGAAGTTTTTCCTTCATAACAGCTCTGGGATGTAGACAGAAACCATTTGACTTCAAGTTGCTGCCTCCGAGGTGGCGGAGGTTTTAATGCCAGGTTTTTGAATTTGCATCCAAGTTGGTCCAGTTGAAGAATGGCAGTTGATGACAGTTGGAAGGAGCGCTTCTCCTTTGTTTAAACCTGATTGGCTGGTGGTTGCTGGCTCCTATTGTTTGTTTGGTTGGTTTTCATTCCACCACCTCTGATTGGCTCGGGTTATCCTATTCTATCTCCCAATCACATGAGGCTTTTTTACCAGTATTCAGGGCAAATTGTCCAACACACAGAAGTGGTCACACATTGATGATATCACCCTATTTAAATGGACATAGGTGGCGCAGAATTCATTCTCCGAGAGTAGCACTTAGCTTTACATTTATTTAGTGCTTTTATCTGTCAACTTTTGTCTGTTTGGAACAGACACTAGGCTCTTCATAACTGCCTGTAACTGTCATGTCTTTCCTGTCTACTGTTGTCACATCTCATCTTTCACTATTCCCAGACCTGTAACTGTCACCTGTTTCCCTTTCATATTTGTAACAGCAGCTGCCTTTATCTGCAAGGCTACTTGTATCACTTGTATCATTCATCTGTTTTTCTATTCCTGGCATTACTCCCTGCCTGTAACTGCTGCATACTAGTACTTCCTGTCTAACAATCACCCATCACCTCTTTCAGGGGCCTGACAGTGTGAGGAGGGGAGAGAGACTAGTCAGACCATAGATAAGATAGGGAGCAGAGAGAGAGGACAGGGAGCAGAGAAGGAGAGGACAGGAAGCGGAGAGAGAGAACAGGGAGCGAAGACAAGGAACGGAGAGAGAACAGGGAATGGAGAGAAACAGAACAGGGAGCGGAGAGAAACAGAACAGGGAGCAGAGAGAGAGAGGACAGGGAGCGGAGAGAGAGAGTACGGGGAGTGGAGAGAGGGAAAGGACAGGGAGTGGAGAGACAGAACAGGGAACAGAGACACAGAGAGGATGGGGATCAGAGAGAGAGAGACAGAGGACAGGGAACAGAGAGAAAGAGTGGACGGGGAGGGGAGAGAGAGTGAGCAGGGAGCAGAGGGAGAGACGACAGGGAACAGAGAGAAAGAGAAAAGGGAACAGAGAGAGAACAGGGTGCAGAGAGAGACAGAACAGGGAGCAGAGGGAGAGAGGACAGAGAACAGAGAGAGAACCGGGAGCGGAGAGAGAGAGAGGACAGGTAGCAGGGAGAGAGAACAGGGAACAGAGAGAGAACAGGAGTGGAGAGAGAGAAAACAGAGAGCGGATAGAGAGAGAGGACAGGGAGTAAAGAAAGAACAGGGAACAAAGAGAGAGAGGACAGGGAGCAGAGGGAGGGAGGACAGGGAGTGGAGAAAGAGAGAGAGAACAGAGGGTAGAGAGAGAGAGGACAGGGAGTGAGGAGAGAGAGGACAGGGAGCAGAGAGAGATAGGATAGGGAGCAGAGAGAGAGAGAGAGAACAGGGAGCAGAGAGAGAGAGAACAGGGAACAGAAGGAGAGAGGACAGGGAACGGAGAAAGAGAGAAGCCGGGGAGCTGAGAGTGTGATAGGACAGGAAACGGAGAGAGAGAGAGGACAGGGAGGGAGTGGAGAGAGAGGATAGGGAGCAGAGAGAGATAGGACAGGGAGCAGAGAGAGAGAACAGGGATCAGAGAGAGAGAGAGAATGGGGAGCGAGGGAGTGAGGATGGAGAGTGGAGAGAGAGAACAGGGAGCAGAGAGAGAGAGAGAACAGGAAACGAAGAGAGAAAGGACAGGGAACAGAGAGAGAGAGAATAGGGAACAGAGAGAGAAAGGACTGGGAACGGAGAAAGAGAACAGGGAGCACAGGGAGAAAGACGGGAGTGGATAAAGAGAGAAGACAGGAAGTGGATAGGGAGAACAGGGAGTGGATAAAGAGAGAAGACAGGGAGCAGAGAGAGAGAGAGGCTAGGGAGCAGAGAGAGAGGCTGGGGAGCGGAGAGAGAGGACAGGGAGCAGAGGGAGAGAGGACAGGGAGCGGAGAGAGAGAAGGAGGACAGGGAGGGAGCAGAGGGAGAGAGGAAAGGGAGCAGAAATAGAGAGAACAGGAAGCAGAGGGAGAGCACAGGGACACTTTAGGGCTGTATGCAGTGTGAAGGGGAGAGTGCAGAGAGGAGGTGAGAGTATCTAATCAGTCTGATCTACCATGTCCAGAGATAACTCAGTTTGACATCACAGGAAAACAGGTGATTGATGTATGTATTTTGCTTCTTGATCTTTGAAACCTCTAATATACTAATAATAATTTTTGTTCACGGTTAGGGCTTTTCTAGCTGTAATAAAACCTTTTGGGAGTGATAATTCATTATTTTGAAGGAACAGACAGATTAAAAGCAATGACATAGTCTTGACAATAAATAACAACTGAGTAGCTAGTGCATATTCCTGTGTTTTATTTTTAATGAGCGTTTATTACCACTGGTAAAAAATATGAGGGTATTAATAAGATTTATCAGTTTCAGAAGGTTTATTAATCACTAAGGCATTATATTATCAGTAAGGCCTTTGTTGTACTGTAGCAAGGTTAACTAATAAATCAAGAAATTGCAAGGCCAATGCAACTCCAAAGTGAACATCTTTTGTCTCTTGGGATCTCAAGGCACCTTTCTGCAGGATGTGTCACCAGTCACAGCAGTTTGAACTCCAGTTTTCAGAAAATGAACGGCATGTGGTATCACTAAAAACAAAATCCGTGAAGCTGAGAACATGCCGATAGGTATTTATAGATCAGATCATCCCATAGCTTCAAGGAGGGAAAGACAGACAATAGATGGCTAACTACAGTCAAAGAGAAACAGGCAGATAATACAGGAGAACTCTAAATGCACCCCACTCTCCAACAGGTTTTCAATTTGGAATAATGATGAGAGTGGTTGGTTTATCTGAGGAATGGAACCAGAACCAAATCAAAAGCACCCTGGGTGGCTCAGTCCTACAGGGTATACCAG